GAGTCACACAGAAGAGCTCCAGAAGGTTTCAAACTGAGAACTCTGGACTCAGATCATCTGCTGCACACAGTTCTGATCACTTATTATCAATAATCATTTGCTGTGATAAATTATTATAGATAATTATCATGAGGAGTCCTTAACTTTAGGATTTAGTTAGGCAATTAAATATTCATGTATGTGTAAATTTATTACATAATTGAAAGTAAGCCACGTAAATTTATGTTTTTGTAAAACAAGCCCCCCCACCATGATTGCAGTTACCTCCAAACTAGTAAAGCCTGATTTATGATTGATGCGTCAAACACGGCGTGAGGGGGCGCGCGCCAATTGTGACTCAATCGCGCCGTCCCGCCGCGGTGTCCCAGTGCGTGGTCATACACCTCCGAAATTTTGAAACTCCGCAAAGGCTGCGCTCGTTGCGCTCCATTCAAATAGCGTGTTGTTTCGTCATGCTTTTGCTGTCCTATTTACAACATTTCATAAGTTATAAAGTGTGCTTCCACATGCCCTTTTGGAAAAAACCTACAACAACTTAAGCGCCAAGTATAAATACCTCCGTCGCTGGCGAGAGTGCGCGCGCACTCCGCGACTACCCAAAGCATGACTATAGCAGCCTTAACTGGGCTGAAAGTTCTGCATCGCCATGACAGATTTCTGTCATTTTGAATGTGGCCAAGACAAATTTCTGTAATTCATGTATTAAATACACTGACGTTCCAATGGGCCTAGCACAAAAACACTCTGCTGACTGTAATTTATTGTAATTGTTAGTTTAGAATAAACTTAGCTGCCGTTGTCTGTGTATACATGCACATTTTCTCACCTGTGGAGTACTTCAGTCCTCTGTGGAGGTGTTACAGAAAAGTTCCACTCAGAGACTCTTGATTGCCAGTGACGTGTAAACAAGCAACTAGATTGCAACAAAAATGTTACAGTTTTACTGAAAACCAGCTCCGTGTAAACAGAGCCTAAGACCTGGTATCAAAAAGTACTGATGTCAGAGACTCCAGTCACCAGTGATGTGTAAATGAGCAGCTGGATTGCAACAAAAATGCTGCAGTTTCACTAAAAACCAGCTTCATATAAATGGCCCCTTAGCATTATCTGGAACTCCTGGGTCCTGGAATGGTTTTCCACTGATTTTGAGGCTGTTGGAAAACCATTCCAGTGGATTGCAGTATCTCATAAAGCTGATTGAGAGAATGACAGGAGTGTGACCCCTATTAAAAAAATCATCCACAACAGTGTAGTACACTGGCTGTCTCAATACAGGGCTGCATCCTCCTAAGTGCACGTTTGTAGGCTGCTTATGTCACTGCCCTGTACCAAAGGCTGTCCCTTTTTCTTTCCAAGTTGACATAGTTTGGAGTAGTTTTTAAGTTAAGTTTAGCAACTTAGCTGCAGAAATTTATGCTGAAATGAGATTTTAAAAAATGCAGCCGCAAATACTGATACTGGAGCTAAACCCAAATTATTGTTTATTTATTTACATGTCACTTTTTAATCGTGAAGTTATTCCTCCAGTGAAAAGACATGTAAACACATGTCCCAACACACTTTAAATCTGAAGGCATGGAAAATAAAATGTATCACTGTGGTAATGGGGCGGTGCGTGGTTACACAATCATAAATCATCCGAAGTCTAGACCGTCTCATTTCACCGACATTTTAGGCTGCCTACCTGGGACTGCATAGGCTGTAGCCTCTGTGGGTTGCGGTCTAGTAGGCTACAGCCCCTGAATTGAGGCACAGCCACTGATGGTCACACAGACTCAGATTTTACAGTCCTGAACTTGTGATTTTGTGTCTTTTTCTTCAGTAAAGACCTGCTGGTCTCCAGTTTTTTTCTATTATGTCCTATATGTGATGTATATGATAAAAATTGGGGGAAAAATGACATGGTACTTATCTTTTTTTCATGTTTTTCATTGTTTCTTTCAGCTTCCACAGGATGACTCGAAACCACCCTATTCATATGCACAACTAATAGTCCAAGCTATCACAATGGCTTCAGACAAACAGCTAACACTGAATGGAATATACACTCACATCACCAAGAACTACCCCTACTACAAAACAGCTGACAAAGGCTGGCAGGTCAGTGTCTTTACACTCGGGACAGGTGGTTTAATGGGTATCTTTGTCTGTTGTTAAATGGCAGCGCAGACACACCATAGATGCTATTACAGTCACAGTTAATCATCAAGCTCCAGTTAATCATAAAGACTATAAGCAGCAGAAGAAAGCACACTTTTTAAACAGAACAGACTTCATTCTGAGTTCACACCAGGGGTTGACCGAAGGGATTTTAGGTTGTCCAAGACGATCGATTTTTGTTTTGGACAACCAGATCTCGCCTGGACAACCAAAAGAAATTGTGGATTAAAGTTGGCCACCGCAACGACAGATTTCTGTCATCTGTAAAAAATGAAAGGAGGAAAAAAACATGTTTTGTTGTAGTCTTCAATTCAATTCAGTTTTATATAGCACCAAGTCACAACATATGTTGTCTCAGGGCACTGTACAGAAAAAGATCAATCTAAAGAAGAAACCAGTCTTCTTAAAGTCTTTCAACCAATGATGATACTAAATTTAAACTAATGATTCGTTTATCAACTAAAGAGTGAACATGTTACCCAATCAGAGCAGAGCAGGGTGGGTCGTGATGTCAAATCGACAGGAACAGAGGGTGAAAACCTTCAGATTTCCTAGACTAGTTTCCAGTAGTCAGCTATTTTTTATTCTTAATATTTCTCTGTATTTTTCAATGCAATCCCAGTACAAAAGCCCAGGCAAACTAGGTATCAAAATGAGTATTGTGACATAAAATATTTCAGAATGTAAAAAATTAAATTGGCGCACCTTTTGAAATGGGATTTCCACTTGCCATTTAAATCGCACTTGGATGAAACAGAAATACACATTCATTTTAACATAGAACAAAAAAGTAGACGGGATAAAAGGAAAAGCCTGATTTGATTAGATGGAGGCAGCCTCACCCTAGACCTGTAATAATAAGTAAAATAATGTAGTATTTTTCCACCCTTTTTATTCACCCTCAAAATTTGTACCAACGATATTTTTTAAGACAAAATAACATTTTGTTCTAAGCAAGGGGGCTGCATCCTCCTGTATTAAAAATATAAAATCATAGGTCTTCTTCCTACATTTTACTAAAAATCAAGGTTGGTGGTAATGATAGATAACAGAAAGAAACGTGGAGATCTCAAAGATGCTATGTTTTCAGTTTTGGGAAAGTAGGAGTATCAATATAAAGTCCACTTCTGTCAGTCCTGAGACGGACACTTGTTGGAGCTTCACATCTAGTGTCTGTTGAGTTTGCGGCAAAACCTGTATTGTTAAAATCTTGTCTTGTTTAGTGGACCCAATATCTCATCTTGTCTCAACTGAAATGAGTGTCGATAATTTTTCACAACATTGCTGGCATCTTTGCATCAACACTGTCTGTCTCCTTTAGAACTCAATTCGTCACAACCTGTCTCTGAACCGGTACTTCATCAAAGTGGCCAGATCTCAGGAGGAGCCTGGAAAAGGTTCATTCTGGAGAATCGACCCGACCTCAGTGACCAAGCTGGTAGAACAAGCCTTCAGAAAACGCCGGCCCAGGGGGGTACCCTGCTTTCGAACCCCTGTGGGGCCTCTCTCCTCCAGGTGAAGCTGAAGTTGTTGCTTTTAGGGGTGGGAACCCTTTACTCTCTCACCATTCAATTCGATTCTGATTTTTGGGGCCACGATTAGATTCAAAATTGATTTTTCATTCAAAACTGATAATGTGAGCCCATTTGTTGTGTTCCCAAGGTGCTTTATCTTCATTTTACAAACCTCACACACCTCGCTCATGTCAAACTCAGACTCATTCAGTAAAAAACAAAATAAGCCCAAATCTTTGCATTCAATGAAGACAGGGCCCGTTGAATCTCTCTTTATTCCAGTTTGGTAGTTTCCTCTTTGTTTTAGTGCTTTCTGCACATTCATATGTTCCAGAACGAGCTGCGTGGTGACGTCAGGACGTCCCATGTAGTTACACAACGGAGGCTGATAACCACTGGATTTGCTTTATGTTTTTATTCATAAAAATCGATTTTGGGACATTTTAAATCGATTCTGAATATTTATAAAAGAGAATCACAATTCTGATGTGAAATAATTTTTTGGTGCACCCTAGTTGCTTTCTATGACACCTGTGCAGTTGTGTGGTAGTTTTCTATGTCAACAATAGGTTCTTTCAGAAGATGCCCCACACCCATACCGTTACTGACGTGTTCTGACCACCTCTTCATTCAGAAGAACATGGAGGACAGGGAGGACTCACCATCCCACCTCTGTAGCACCTCTGTATCTCTTAGTGAAGTAGTCTGAGTCCTGTTTGAATGACAGCAGCATGTCAGAACAGCCATTTTTTTCCATGCCTCTTAATTCCACACTGATAAATGTATTCTGGAGGTACATTTGAGCATGTTCAGAGCGAGTCTCCATCAGTGACTTCTGACCTGTCAGAGGGAACCTGAACACGGAATGAGCTGTTCAGCCATTTAGCAGTACTGTCTTCTGAAAGAGTTTAATTGGGGCCGTATGAAATCCATTGTATTTTTTCTCAAATTGAGTTTTTTCTGTTTTTATTTTCTAATTTCCATTTATTCTGAATTCCATATTTTCATTCTAAACATAACCTAAAAAGTATGTACAGTAATATAAGTGACTGAAAAATCATATAACAAATGAATAGCCACGTAATTCTAAATTTAATGGCTGTTATTTCACTTTCACATATATAACAAAGTGCTGTGGTAAAGCAGAACATTAAATTATTTTTGCAAGGTATTAACCTGTGTTAAATAAAGTTTTGAACAAAAAACTAGAGAAGAACAATACTCCTGTGGCCCTTTGAAGGGATCTGGATCTTAAGATAAGATAAGAGGAGAGGAGATAAAACTATTGATCCCACAGTGGGGAAATTTGCACTTGAGGAGCTGTTAGTTTTATAAAGTCATTCAAAAGAGCCACTCGATTTTGAACGAGTTAAGTCATCCTGTAGGGAAATGAGTAATCACATAATCCGTACATGATGATGTCATCACATCATGTGGGTGGAACCATGTGTTTTGTCAAGCTGAAACCTAGAGCTGGGCAGTATGACCCAAATTTTATATCACGGTATTTAAATTTTTTTTCATCACAGCTTAGCTGATAATAAAATGTACAAACTTTACTTATTGACTTTTTTCTGTTACTGTACCTCTGTATGACTGTTTCCCTCCTCTGTACGACTGTTTC